GACAAACTCAGCCAATCGACAGTCCAGTGCTGTGATGTCATTCTGAGCTTGGGTTGTTTGTGAGATGAGGCGTTGGTGCCCAAACTGACCTCATTTGAAGGATTAGGCATGCGAGTGTAACCTATCTGGTCAATGGGTTATATTTCCTTCTTTAGCAGCTGGACACTGAGGCAATGAGTCTGCTACTGCCCCAGTTAATGGGACAACTCCTTTAACTCAAGCAATAGCAACACCCGCTGCTTGTGCTGAAGGTCTCAGTGAGTTCAGACTACTGACAACTTTGCAGGGACTAGCTGCACCAGGACTGGCAGATCAGGCCCCCTCTGTTGTTTCTCTCTCCCATGCTCATTTTAAAGTGAACTCTGTGGGCTGATCTGTACATACAGGCCCTGGACACCCTCCTCCCCCATTGTGGCTGTTTAGCTGGTCAAGCACTAGTGTATTTGTTTAGTGCCTGTGGGCAGAAGCTGGCACCTGAGACTTCCTGATGCTTTCGTCGAGTTGCATGGGGTGTTTCTGCTACCTGTTGCTGTGGTCAAGGCTGTTCTGCTGAGCCACGTGTTTTCTTTCAGGTCTCCAGATACAGATTTCCAGCCATGTTGCCAGTTACATAGGTCTCTGGTGACTGGTTTTTAAGGCACGTCTAGGCAGATTGGAAGCTATAATATTGGTAAATGCAGATCGACAAGCAACTGCGTGCAGCCCAGCAAGCTTGAGGAAGGCTTAGGAAGAAGCATCCTGGAGGTAATGGAGCTGGGTTTAGTAGTGGTCAGCTGGAGCCGGTTCGCAAGAACCGGTTGTTAAATTTAGAAGCCGGTGTAGAACCGGTTCCTAAAGGGGCGGGCGGATGGGCAAACTCCGGTCCGCAGACCACAGCCGGCCTGCGGGACCGTCCTGTCCGGCCCGCCTGAGCTCCCAGCTGGGGAGGCTCCCCCAGCCCCTCCCCCGCTTCCCCCCCGCCCTCTCGCAGAGCACCAGCGCGGCGCGCGCTGCCGGCGCCAGTGCTTTGGGCAGCTCTGCAGCTCCTGCCGCTTTGAGCAGCATGGTAAGGGAGTGGGGCTGCGAGCTCCAGCGGCCGCGCAGCATCCTGGCACAGCAGCATGGTAAGGGGGCTGGGGCGGGGTTGGATAAGGGGCAGGGAGCGGTTGGAGGGGGCAGAGGCTCTGGGGGGGGTGCGGTCAGGGGATGGGGAAGGGTTGGATAGGCGTGGGAGTTCCGGGGGTCTGTCGGGGTGGTGGTGGATGGGGTCGGGGCAGTCAGGGGACAGGGAGCGGGGCGAGTTGGGTAGGAGGTGGGGTCCTGGGGGGCAGTTAGGGTGGGGGGGGTCTCAGGAGGGGGTGGTCAGGGGACAAGGAGCGGGGGGAGTTTGATGGGTTGCGGGTTCTGAGGGGGGCAGGACGTGGGTTGGGGTTGCGTGGGTGGAGGGAGACAGGCACGTGGGGCTTGTACTCACCGCGCGGTTCCCTACCGGGTCTTCGGCGGCACTTCGGCGGGGGGGTCTTGACTAGCTCCGGGTGAAGTACCTGTCACCGAAATGCCGCCAAAAACCCGGAGCCAGTGAAGACACCCCCCCCCCGCCGAAGTGCCGCCGAGGACCCGGTAGGGAACCGGTTCTTAGGATTTTGGGAGCTCATCACTGGGTTTATGGCAGGTTTCTCTTGCTTTCAGCCAAAGAGTTGTGTTAGGAGCAGCAACTGCTAACAACATTAGCATTAGGTGCATTTTAGTGGGTAGATCCTACTCCAGACGACTTTGTCCTGGACTAGGATGGGACTCAATTGATAAGAATTAAAGGAGGGTAATGTAATTAATGCAAATCAACATGGATTTATAGAAAATAGATCTCATCTTTATTTTTATGAGATTATAAATTTGGTTGATAGCATAATAGTGTTGACATAATAGACTTAGACTTCTGTAAGGCATTTGACTCAGTATTGAACAACATATTGATTTTAAAAAACTATAAAAAGATATATATTTAACATGGCACACATTAATGGATTAAGAACTAGCTAACTGTTAGGTCTCAAAAAGTAATTGTAAATGGGGAATCATCATCAAGCGGGTGTGTTTCTAGTGGGATTCACAGGGATGGTTCTTGCCCCTACACTATTTTGCATTTTCATCAAAGATCTGGAAGAAGACATAAAATCATCACTGATAAAGTTTGCAGATAACACAGAAATTGGGAAAGTGGTAAATAATGAAGAGGACAGGTCACTAATTCGGAGCGATCTAAATTGTTTGGTAAAGTGGGTGCAAGCAAACAATATGCATTTGAATATGGCTAAATGTAAATGTATACGGCTAAGAACAAAGAATACAGGCATACTTACTGAATGGGGGTCTCTATCTGGGAAGCAGTGACTCTGAAAAAGATTTGAGGGTCATGGTGGATAATCAGCCAAACAAGAGCTCCCAGTGAGATGCTGTGGCCAAAAGAGCAAATGCGATCCCGGGATGCATAATTCTCAAGTAGGAGTAGAAAGGCTGTTTTATCTCTATATTTGGCACTAGTAGCTGTTGCTGAACTACTGTGTCCAGTTCTGGTTCCCACAATTCAAGCATGATGTTGATAAATTGGAGAGGACTCAGAGAAGACTGATTAAAGTATTGGAAAACATGCCTTATAGTGATTGAGCTCTTTAAGTTTATATATTTAGCTTAACGAAGAGAAGGTTAAGGGGTGAATTAATTACACTGTATAAGTATCTACATGGTGCACTGTGACATACCAGGATACAATCTAAACCAGGGGTAGGCAACCTATGGCACGCGTGCCGAAGGCGGCACGCGAGCTGATTTTCAGTGGCACTCACGCTGCCCGGGTCCTGGCCACCAGTCCGGGGGGCTCTGCATTTTAATTTAATTTTAAATGAAGCTTCTTAAACATTTTAAAAACCTTATTTACTTTACATACAATTGTTTAGTTATATATTATAGACTTAGAGAAAGAGACCTTCTAAAAACGTTAAAGTGTATGACTGGCACGCGAAACCTTAAATCAGAGTGAATAAAGGAAGACTCGGCACACCACTTCTGAAAGGTTGCCGACCCCTGATCTAAACTAATGAGCAGCTGTGTCACCCCTGACCTGAAACCTTGGGTGCCTTACAATGCCTTCCCGAAGTAGCTCCTACCTGGTCTTCTCACAAACAGCCTTCCAGCATGCAGACTACCCAGAGTGTCTATGTGTAACTGCAGCCTGCCAGCCACACTTGAGTTACATTCTGGCTTTCACTAGAGTTGCTTATACTGCAGGGTGACCCAACACACACCCCAGTTTTACACTGTCCCCCAGAAATGTATGTCCTGTACTGCCCAGCCCTCTCTTGGACAATACCAATTATATTAAGTCTGTTATTTCTTTAAAAGGAATACTATGAACCCAACTTGTCACCCAAAATGGAGTTTCCTAGACACTTCAATTTAAACACACCGAATTAGATAAAACATTAAAACAAGCTTATTAACTAGAAAGAGAGACATTTTAAGTGAATACAAGTAATGAGGCATAAAAGTCAGAAATGGTTACAAGAAAAATAAAGATAAAATGCAACTGGTGCCTAACTTAACAAACTGTTAAATTCAAAGCAAAGTTTTCTCACCACGTGCTTTCAGCAGCCTTACTGACCAAACTTCTTAGGTCAGGATCCCTTCTCCCAGAATCCCATGAATGCTTCTTTTGTCTCTTCAGGTGCCATGAATGTGGTGGGCCAGGAGAGAGAGGATTGCCGTGGCGTGTTTGCCTCGCCTTTTTATAGTTTCAGTCCCCCTCTTGAAAAACATTTGCAGCTGGGTACCAGGAGACAAAATGTCTATGTGGAAGGATGTTCCCTGATGCTTTTTCCTCACCTGTTTGAACTTCCTTTGTTTCCCTTCCTGCTTGATGCAAATTAAGTGGCGCAAACATTCCTTTGTTTGAGACAGGCTTGTTTGCCAACTTTTCTTTGGGCAGGGCTGTGGGATTTGGGACCTGTGTCAATAACATACAGAGGTATCTTATAACTTCACATACAATGTGGCCACACACATTTTATTAGGGCAATGATGACCAGCAAATTATGAGCTTTCAAATGACACCTCACAAGGCATACTTTGAACAAACTAATAATTTTTGTAGGGTATGAATACTGGGTGCATTCTGTAACAGGAACAAATATTTAATAATGGGCTCTTCAGTTTAGCAGAGAAAGGTCTAACTATCCAAGGGCTGGAAGCCGAAGCTAGACAAATTCAGACTGGAAATAGGTAAAAAGTTTTTAACAGTGAGAGTAATTAACCACTGGAACAATTTACCAAGGGTTGTGGTGGATTCTCCATCACTGACCATTTTGAAATCCAGTATGGAGTTTCTCTAAAAGCTCTGCTCCAGGGATTATTTTGGGGAAGTTCTCTAGCTTGTATTATACAGGAGGTCCAACTAGATTATCACAGTTGTCCCTTTTGTCCCTGAACTCTATAAATCGTACAGTACTGTGAGAGCCCCAGATGAAAGTAATACTGTAATTGATCTCAGTGCAAGGAGTGGCTGTGAGTGCCACGGTAGCAGCACCTGATGTCTGGTAGCGTGCTGGTTGTGCCACAAGCTCACAGGAAGTGCTTTCAGGCTTCCAGGTCTGGTCTCTGCAGGCTCTATCCCCCAGACAATCACACTGTGTAAACCTGAGGATTCCTCCACTGGGGCCACAGGGTCTCACCATAAAAATGTGAAGGACTGGTGAGTGTATTTTATAGGGCCCTCCTCTGTGCTGACATATAGATTATATGAGTCTGTTTCAGCCCCAGCTTGCGAGCCTGGTTCTTTAGTTCATGTTGTAGCAACTCATGCTTTTAACTCTGGAGATTCCTGGTTCAATCCAGGCTGTCAGCCATCACACAGATAGGCACATGTGCTGTAACTGCTACAGCCAAATAAGAGACAACCTGCAGTTCCCAGCCCAGCCCCACGCTGTGAAGGTACCAGAGACCCAATGTAGCCCTATTATCCTTCGGGGATGCTACACCTCTGTGCCCTCTTGCTGCAGGTACTGCTGGCCCCGGCCAGTAGCAGGGCAACTTTCTGACTTTCTCTCAGGCTCTCCAGCCGGAGACCCAGGCTGTGGCCTCTGGCCTGCCGCTCCTGCCACTGAGAGGCCTCTGGCCTCAGTAAGTACTTCCCTTTCCTGTGCTGGAGGCATTAAGGAGCCCTGTACCGGCGAGATGCTGAAGTGGGTGGTAGCAGTGATAATCATTGTCAGTGTTTTATAGAAGACAATCATCCTCAAACTCCGAGAGATTGCTGACGGTATCAGTGAGCCAGCAGGTTCCCTACATCATGGCTGAGGGATGTCTCAAAATGCCTCTCCTAGAGGGCAAGGCCCCAACAGGGGGCAGCCTCACCCAGGGCAGCAGCATCACTACAATGGTGACTACTGTTTTCTGGAGTCTGCCCGGCTGAGAACAGCAGAGAGCCGGAGAAAGGCATTAAGCCCCTCCAGGCTTCCAGGCCTACTTTGGTTCCTCTCCTAAGAGCAGCTGTAGCTGAAAATGAAGCGTCTGGGACTAACTGAGGTGTCTATTTTCCAGGTCTGTCTCAGTGAGTTCTTGGCATAACAATAATTCCTTCTGCACCACCAGCCTTCGCTGCTGAGAAGCCACTGGTGATTGTCACTGGGAGCTGAGTGTTAACACGCAAGCCTCAGCCCCAGCCTGCTGGGATGGGGTGGGGACTGACATCCGAGCTCTCTTGGTGGAGAGATTTACCAACGCTTTAATTTCTGATGTGTTTTCTGTGTCTCTTTTAAAGAGAAGGGAAAAAATCCAGCTTTTGTCAGGGCAACCTGCCTCTTCTGGGGGATGGTGCTCCTGGGCCCAGACAGGCAGGCTGGCACCCCACACAGGTGCACCCACTTGGCACAGGGAGTAGTTTGCTTTGCTTTGCTGAGCTGAGTGTATATCCTATGAAGGTGAGAACCAGCGCGTGGGTTTTCCCAGCACAGAGGGAGCCTCTAGAGCTGGAAAATTATATCTGGGGAACACACCTTGTGTGTGTATTTTTGTGTGTGTGTGTGTTGGGTCCTTTTTGTGTGCATGGACCTCTCTGAGCAGGTGTACATTGCTCTGTGTATTTCTGCTTCTATGTGCATGCATCCATACATACTTGTCCATGTGTGTGGTTAACATGTTGGTCCACGTGGATGCATGTGTGTCAGTGTGGGGTGTCTCTGAGTGTGTGCATCTGTATTCTTGAGGAGGGGATATCTGTGTCATTGTATGTTCGTCCATAGGTTCAAACCCCAAAACTGGAGCAGGGTTGGGGCATGACAGCTGTATAGTGACGTTTTGGAACCCAAAGTTTTGTGTGGACAAAGGGTATGTCTGCCCTGCATGTGCAGGTGTGATTGGAATGAGGGTAGCTGTACTAACTTTAATCTAGCTCACGCAGGTAAAAAGTGGTGAAGACGTGGCAGTGTGGGCTTCAGCGCAGGCCAACCACCTCAGTACAAGTTCACCAGGGACCCTGTGTAGCTACTGGGGCAGTTGGCCTGTGCTGAAGTTCATGCCACCACATCTTCACCACTCTTGATACCAGTGCTAGCTAGGTTAAAGTTAGCGTGGATATGTCTACCCCCGCTACAATCACACCTTCACTCACAGTGTAGACATACCCAAAGGGAAGCATATGTGCATCTGCCTGTGTACATGCGTGTGTGCATGACTATGCCTGTGCATGCCACAACTTATGTATAGTGCTTTGTGTTCTTCCTATGGTAGGCCACAGCTTTGTCCACATGTTGTAATCTGTACTCAGTACGCTGTGTCCAGCCATCTCCCCAATACTCCCTGTCCCTCTGTCCCAATCTATGTCTGTCTATTCCAGACTCTGTGTCCCCCTTTACGTTCTTTTTGGTTTGTTTGTTTTCTAAACACTGGAATAAATTGCCTAGGGAGGTTGTGGAATCCCCATCTCTGGAGATATTTAAGAGTAGGTTAGATAAATGTCTATCAGGGATGGTCTAGACAGTATTTGGTCCTGCCATGCGGGCAGGGGACTGGACTCGATGACCTCTCGAGGTCCCTTCCAGTCCTAGAATCTATGAATCTATGAATCTATCTATCTGTCTATCTAGAGATATCTTAAAAGACCATTATTTGCAAAGTCAAGCATTCCAAAATTAGGAAATGCCAAAATTAATCAAAGATTTATAGATTTAAGGCCACAAGGGACCGTTATGAACTTCTTGTCTGACCTCTTGCACAACCCAGGCTAGAGAACCTCACCCACTAATTTCTGTATCAAAACCATGACATCTGATTGAGCTAGAGCATAGCTTTTAAAAAGACATCCAGTCTTGATTCAAAGACACCAAGAGATGGAGAATCCACCGCACTCCTAGATAAGTTGTTCCAATGGTCAGTTACCCATATTGTTAAAAACAGGTGTCCTATTTCTAGTCTGAATTTATCTGGAAGTTGAAGCCAGACATTGAGCCCTCTGCAGTCAGAAATCTTCTCCCCATGTAGGTATTTATAGACCATGATCAAATCTATTCTGCTCTTGGATAAACTACATAGATTGAGCTATTTTAATCTCTTTCTGGGAGGCAGGTTTTCTAGACTTTGACTTGTTCTTGTAGCCCTTCTCTGATCCCTTTCCAGTTTGTCAACACACCAGACCTGGATGCAGTATGCCAGCTGTCAAGCTGTCTGGAGAGGCTTGCGACCGTGAGTGCTAACCTCAAGGCAGACTGTCTAGGAACAGGGCACAAACTCCAAACTGGTTGTATGTTCTTTAATTAGATTTCACCAACCAAGTAACAAGTATGAACTCCTAAAACATTGTAACAGCCTTAACATGGTATCACAGATAGTCCCCTTGGGCACTCCGATCTATCTTGCCACCCAAGCAAGCTTGTCTTTATGATAGATGGTCCCTTACACCAAAAATCACAATAATATTCTGTTTACTCTCAGTCCCAAAAGACCAGTTACTTACCCCAGGTCAACTGTACTTCAGACATCAAACCAAAGACAATGTTTGTAGCCAATCCTATAATAAACTATCTAAAGATTTATTAACTAGGAAAAAGAAGTGAGTTACAGTAGAAGCTCAGAGTTATGAACACCAGATTTACGAACTGACCAGTCAATCACACACCTCATTTGGAACTGGAAGTATTCAATCAGGCAGCAGCAGAGAGAGAGAGAAAAAAAGCAAATACAGTACAGTACTGTGATAAACATAAACTATTAAAATAAAGGGAAAGCAGCATTTTTCTGCTGCATAGTAAAGTTTCAAAGCTGTATTAAGTCAATGTTCAGTTGTAAACTTTTTAAAGAACAGCCATATCGTTTTGTTCAGAGTTACGAACATTTCAGAGTTATGAACAACCTCCGTTCCCGAGGTGTTTGTAACTCTGAGGTTCTACTGTATTTACAAGGTTAAACCAGGTAAACATACACACACAAATGAGATACAGCCTTAGGTTTCAAAAAGTGATAGAAACTTCTATAGTAAGCAAAATTCCATATGCTCTTTAGGGGTAACCTAGGCAAAACAGCAGGGGGCGAGGGGGGGTGTCTTTGATTATGCTTAGTGGTTCTTGCCCCTTTAGAGTCCAAGCAGCAAAAAGAATCTAGTTTGTCCTTGTCATGGATTTTTATACCCTTCTCCCCAGAGTCCAAGCTGATGGGACAAGTTCATGCACAGGTCTCCTCTTCCTGGACAGGAAGACTTGTGCATGAACTGGACAGGAAGAGGAATACAATTAACAAAGTCTTTGTTCTTTGATCAGAGGGGTAGCCGTGTTAGTCTGGATCTGTAAAAAGCAACAAAGAGTCCTGTGGCACCTTATAGACTAACAGACATATTGGAGCATAAGCTTTCGTGGGTGAATACTCACTTTGTCAGACGCATGTGGTGGAAATTTCCAGAGGCAGGTATAAATATGCAGGCCAGAATCAGTCTGGAGATAACGAGGTCAGTTCAATCAGGGAAGGTGAGGCCCTCTTCTAGCAGTTGAGGTGTGAACACCAAGGGAGGAGAAACTGCTTTTGTAGTTGGCTAGCCATTCACAGTCTTTGTTTAATCCTGAGCTGATGGTGTCAAATTTGCAAATGAACTGAAGTTCAGCAGTTTCTCTTTGGAGTCTGGTCCTGAAGTTTTTTTGCTGCAGGATGGCTACCTTTAAATCTGCTATTGTGTGTCCAGGGAAGTTGAAGTGTTCTCCTACAGGTTTTTGTATATTGCCATTCCTAGGGTACGTCTTCACTACCTGCCGTATCGGCGGGTAGCAATCGATTTATCCGGGATCGATATATCGCGTCTCGTTAAGACGCGATATATTGCTCCCCGAACGCGCTCACCGTCGACTCCGGAACTCCACCAGAGCGAGCGGCGGTAGCGCAGTCGACGGGGGGGGGGGCCGCGGCCGTCGATCCCGCGCCGTGTGGACCCCAGGTAATTCGATCTAAGATACTTTGACTTCAGCTACGCTATTCACGTAGCTGAAGTTGCGTATCTTAGATCGATTCCCCCCCCCAGTGTAGACCAGCCCCTAATATCTGACTTGTGTCCATTAATCCTTTTCCGTAGGGATTGTCCAGTTTGGCCGATGTACATAGCAGAGGGGCATTGCTGGCACATGATGCGTATATTACATTGGTGGACGTGCAGGTGAATGAACCGGTGATGTTGTGTCTGATCTGGTCAGGTCCTGTGATGGTGTCGCTGGTGTAAATATGTGGGCAGAGTTGGCATCGAGGTTTGTTGCGTGGATTGGTGCCTGAGTTAGAGTTACTATGGTGCGGTGTGTGGTTGTTGGTGAGAATATGCTTAAGGTTGGCGAGTTGTCTGTGGGCGAGGACTAGCCTGCCTCCCAAGGCCTGTGAAAGCAAGGGGTCGTTGTCCAGGATGGGTTGTAGATCACTGATGATGCGTTGGAGAGGTTTTAGCTGACGACTGTAGGTGATGGCCAGTTGGTTTCTTTCTTGGGCTTGTCTTGCAGCAGGAGGCTTCTGGGTACACGTCTGGCTCTGTTGATTT